AGCAGGATTTATTAACTTCTTGTTATAAATAATAACACACGAGTAAATGTACAATACCAACAGTGGTTCTTCAGATCAGAGCAGCAGGTCCAGACTAGTTTCATTTCCGGCGCAGAGCTTAATACAGACAAGACTAGTTTCAATTTCAATTCTCAGCACAACTCTCAGAGCTGCAGGGCTAAACCACATCCAGGCACCAAGCTGTTTCAGCTCCCATTGGCTGACCTTGTTACTAAGCCCTATTCTTTGGCTGATCTTGTTGCCATGTCTCTGCCAGTTATGAATTCTCTGACAAGTTATACTGATCTCCAGGAAATATTACTTAGTGATAGTAATAACTATCAGAGTAGCATCCTCAGCACAGCAATAACTATTGATGTTTTTTCCTCAACTTTTAAAATCATGCTTATCTTGTATTCCAGCTTTTCTTAATATATATTCAGAATATAGATTGAATAACTAAAGAGAAAGTATAAAGTCTTGCCTCACTTCTTTGCCAATCTGGAAAGGCATTGCGGGAAATAGTTTTTGGATCAGGATTCCAACAAGATACTCTTTAATGTTTTTAAATACCTAAATCCCATTCTCTCTATTAATCAGAGATCTATCTTGTACTTATAGGCATTTGATATTTCCTCCAAAGAAATTTTTGTTATCACAACAACTGATAGAAAAAAAATAACAAGTGAAAACTTTGGTAAGTATACTGTATTTATAATGACAAATCAATTTTATACCAAGGTGCTATTAATTAAATATTAAAGTTCTGCTACTCTGTTTCACCAATATTTGTCTTGCAATAGCTGCCATTTTTCTTTAAAAAGATTGTTTTGATTCTGAATTAAAAAAACACTAAGATCAAATGATCAGGATTTCAAAAAAAATTATAATGGTATGAGTATTGAAAATTAGAATTCAAAGAATTTAGAATTTAAAAAAATAATATCAGTACAAACATTAACAGGAATGGTTTGGGATGCAAGTAAAGTTTTTATGAGAATATTCTATAAAATATCATACTCAAAAATGAAGAAAAAAGGATTCTGAGCTTTGATTAGATTTTTTGGTAATAATTTGTTTTTGACAAATTATCAATTCGATTGGGAATCTTTTTTGGCATGTGCCAAAAGCAGGGGGAGAGCAGGGGGGTTGTGCGTGGGTGTGCCACACACATAATGCTTTTTGCA